AGGTTAAATTGGGTGATCTAGTTGGCCATGCCAAATCGCCAAAATGAAATCGTTCCTTGCTCGCGGTTACCGTCTTCTAGAAAGCGCACATGTCTACGCTCCTGTGGACTGTCCTGCTGCAATAAATTACTTATAACATCTTCCGATAGAATGATTACAATTGTGCCACCCTAACTTGTACTGTACCCTTAGTACGAGTTTTACAATTATGAAAACTATGACAGTTTTCGTGAGTTCGCACTCGTACTAAGGGTACTGATTTTATTGTTTTCGTTTCAATACAAATAAAAAGTATTTAAATTTTACTATTAAATCATTTGCATCTTCGTAAATTTTAAGAATATTTGGTTAATTTTCACCCAAAATGGACATAGAAACATAATTTATAGTTACGAAAACTATGATAGTTTTCGTGAGCTCAAACTCGTACTAAGGGTACTGATAGCGTGTAGCGGCTACAAATACACATTCTTTTAAGATACGAGGTGTATCTATTTTCGATCGACAGCTCAAAAGCCCTGACAGCCATACAACTGAGGCATATAGATAGGACTACATTTGTTTCCCTTGGGGTACGGTAGACGGTACCCTAAAATATACGTGACACGTATAATTTTTATATTTTACGTATCGATTTTATCTGGGGTTTGAATTGCCCCTAAATAAAACCTTTTCATATTCATAACCTGCTTAAGTACATCGCGATTAAAGGCATTTTATCTCCAATGTGAGGAGAGCAAATATTTTTATGAATTCTTACACAATAATAGGTTAATATTGCTAATACATGTAACCAAAGAAAACTGGAGTTTGATTTATGAAACTTGATTGAAACTGCCCGAAAGATAGACATAGAAAAATGATTTTAGTTCTCATTCATGTTGTTTTTGGTAGGTACCTAATGTGGAAATGTAGCAAATATGAGTAATAATTTATCTGACACACTGCCGGATTTAGGGGAGGGCAACCGGGGCGAAAGCCCCGGGGCCTCCACAAACGGGGGCCCCCACAATAGAGACTTCGGAAAAAAAATCTTTCAAATTCCAACTAGTAAACACTAGTAAACATGTATTCCTTTGATATTTTTTTTTACTCTTTTACCTTTACCTACAGCCTACAGTACTTTGTACATCTAACACACATGATTATTCACATTAATTATTTATTGAAAAACTCGACTAAAAAAAAATGTTTACATTATTTGGAAAATAATTTGGGGTGAGGGAGCCTCCGCTCCTCTGTTGCCCCGAGGCCTCTGGACCTCTAAATCCGGCCCTGATCTGACATAAGTATTACTTATAATAATATTGAAAAACGACGCCAAGGAAATCAAGGAGAAATTATTTTTGGGGTGAAATTTCAACTTTTCGTTCCAAGTGTTATGTTGCGAGAAAGTGGCAATTAAGTATTGCCTAAAAAGAGGAAAAAAAGTCAATATGATAATGATATATAATGATAATGTATTGGAGCACCCTTCGGAGGAAGTGAGTGATCTTGATCTGATAGAAAACCAAGGTAAATAAACATAACCTCTTAGTCGTACTATTCGTAAGTGGAATTCTTTACCCGCGTACTTGTTCCCTCCTTCCTATAATCTAGGGTCCTTTAAGAGAGGCGTGAAGAAGCATTTTTGCAGGCCGGTAAGGTGAGGATGGTTGGTGTAGCAGTTTATAACTGCTGGACCAGCTTTCTTCACGTTTGGAATTTATCACCACTTAACATCAGGTGGGGTAGAGTCATTTGCCTACCTCGCTATAAAAAATAAACTTTGGTATTGCAAGCTTCTTTATGCTATGGTGGGGTGGCCGCTTACCATAACGCGGGTCATATTATGCTTGTTTCCCACTTTTTTAATTAAAAATATAAATTTTCGGAATTCTTTTGATATTTCAGATTCAATAAATCATTTTACCACAGGCACACAAAACAGAAATAAAAGAATAATGTAATGAAAAAAATCGGTTTTTGAATGAGTCTAGTAGAAATAGTGTCTATAGCCCGGTCAAATAAACATTTAAGGTTACATTAATTCGCATGAAGATGAAAATTGCTATGAATGTTGGGAATACTATAAAAAACAATTTGTCAAAAATCCCCATTGATCCGACGTGTGAAAAAAAAATTGTTCCAGGCCAAATGTTGCGAAAATCGGTTTTTTGCATTTTTCATCTAAACGGCAAGTTTTATCATAAAAATAACTGTGACAAAAATTATTCATTATGTGATTATCTATAAAAACTGTTTCTACACTTTTTATGAATCACCATTTCGGAGATAAAGCGATGCAAAAAGTTGTGTTCTTTATAAAATGACTGGACCTAGATCGGTACTAGAGAATTGTCACACCACGTGCCAAAGGACAAGAGGCGGGTTAAGTAATAAATAAATATTATAACACATTTGCTCGTAAAGCGTCTCTTATTGCACCAATTTCAATATCATAAATCTATCACATTACACACGCGTGCTCTGCCTTCTTATAGCCCTCACCTACGGCTCGGGCTAACAATATCACCTCGGCTGTAATTCTCAACTTACCGCACTTATATCATAATGTACTATTACCAATACACACCAATTAGCCTAGCCCCAAAGTTAGTACTGTAGCCTTGTGTCATGGTATACTAGGATAACGGATAGAATACATATACTGGCACATATCTTAATACTAGCGGCCCGCCCTCGCTTCGCTTCGGTGTAGAGCTGAAGTGTAGACTACAGTTTTTGTTCTCAGGCTTGTATTATACACAACGACATTCATCTATGATTCTTCTTATACCTGCATGCAAAGTCTCAGCCCGATCGGTTTAAAATTGACAAAGTTTCATACAAACTTTCATTCCCTATTTTATCTTTTAGAATTGATCAAAATCCTTTCTTAGCGGATGCCTACGTCTTAACATCTACCTGCATGCCAAATTTCAGCGCGATCCGTCCAGTGGTTTGGGCTGTGCGTTGATAGATCACTGTGTCAGTCAGTCACCTTTGAGTTTTATATATATATATATATATCTTTATATATATAATCCTTCTGTGAGTGTGTATGTCACTGAACTTCTCTTAAACGACTGGACCGATTTTGATGAAATTTTTTGTATGTGTTCAAGGGGATCTGAGAATGGTTTAGATTCACAATTTTGTCCGCTGGACAACCCCTATTTTTTTAGGGCGGTACGAAGTTCGCTGGGTCAGCTAGTATATATATATATATATAGATATATACATTACGTGTCACATTGTTTGTCCGGGATGGACTCCTTAACTACTTAACTGATTTTTAATCCAATTTGCACACCGTGTGCAGTTTGATCCAACTTAAAAGATAGGATAGCTTACATCTCAATTTATAGTCGCAATATTATTTTTACTTTTGGGCGGTACGAAGTTCGCCGAGTCAGCTAGTATAAGTATATTTACATAGAAATACAAATTAAACATCCATGACATGACATTATCTTTTTTATTAATAAAGATATAAAAATATATTTTTATAAATAAGCCGTTTTATAAATACTTAGGTAGTTTATGCACGAATCGTTTAAGATTTCAAACAGAAACGATTATACTAAACATATTTGTTTTTTGGAGTTTACTCCTTAAGAATCGATTTGCATATATAAGGGGCCCGGTATGAGAAAAATGTGAGGAGTAAAATCTATCGATGAATGACCTCGTTACGTTTTTGGTGCGCATCCTATGTCGCGCAACTTTGACAAACAAAGATGACGGATTGACATTAATAAAATTTTTAAAATCTGAACTGAATTTAGATATTGTTTCTGATAGAGCAATGGGGACAACGAGGTATGGTACAACCATTGATGCGGTATTTTCAAGATTCGTGAACCACGTATCTACGAACGTCCATGTGTCTTATTTTAGTTACCATAAACCACTTGTCACTGTAATTAATAAAGCAGACAATGGTATCGATTCTGGCGTGATTCTCTAAACTTAAAACTAAATTTAATATCAGCCTCTCCTTGTTATTCTGCATAGAGAATGACAAGGTTGCATGCACTGTTGTCAAATTTAAGTTTAGGTTTAGAGAATCATGCCAGAATCGACATCATTGTTGATTTAATTAATATTTAAAAAAATGATAATAGTCTGATAATAACAATTACATAATTTATCAACATTCCTAATAATATATTTATGCACATCTGAAATTGACTATTGTAAAAAGTTTTATGTAAAATATTTCGTCGCTTAGTTATAATAAATGTGTATGAAATGAATAAATATATATTTATATATGTATATTATTTTCACTAATTTTTTAATTTACCCTTTCATACAGTATCAATTTTTTTTAAGTTAAATAAAATCTTTTTGCGTCTGGTTAGACTATCGAACTTAAGGAGTAAACTCCAGTCGTGCGTCGGAGCTGACACACACAATTTTTCTCTTACCACTAAACAGTTTATTCTTTCTTTTAAAAAACTTGAAGCAGTGATGAATACAAACTGGCAAACTTGCGGAGAAGAAGACGTCATATTAAATACTAGATTAGTTATTCCGGCGATGTACTGTGGCGTAGCATCGCAAAACTAGAAGCAAAAGCTCCCGTGTACCGATGCAGACGATTAGAGTGAGCAATGTATATCTAAAACTAGACATAAGAAGCTAAAATGTTTGACAGACAGACACAGACATGTACTTAATGGATACTGAGTTCTTGAATTGTCGGTGGTCGAGTTATAATATGGATTTATTTTATCAACCTGGAAACTGCATCTATTGCGATTGGTAGGGTACACCTACCATAAACTGGTCCCTTAGCAACTTTGGTCACTTTCAACATGCGGTGCTAGTATATTCATAATAGGTATGTATGTGTTTAAATAAAACTAGTTTTTACGGGTTAATGCATGAAACTTTACTTATTTATTGACGTTTCGTAGCCTTTACAGGCTTCGTCGTCAGAATAAAACTTTTATTTAATTTGTCGAGCTACCTTCGAAAGACTTTTATTGAGCGTTTGGTTATTTCATTGATCGATTTTTAAGTTTTATTGTCTATGTATGAATTTATTATTTAATTTACTTAATAAAGTATTTTATTTAAAATTCTTTTTTGTAATTTTGAGTTTATTTATTTGACCCTAACTACCGTAAACTACCACCGGTTCCAAAATTGGGAGACCTTTCTGAGAAGAACCGGCGAAACAAACTCAAGAGAGGCTTTCTATCTCCTTCTTATGTTAAATTATGCAAACAAAAAGAACTAATAGTATCTGATGGTCTTGCAGTGTGTGCTCGGGGTTGGGATTTTATCTCCTGTATAATAGGTTCCCAAGCTGGTGGTATATATCAACCATCTTCCCTATTGAAATTTGGATATTTTTTAATATCAATAGCCTCGCGCATCATTCGAGGAACGAACCGCCGCTCAGCTGCAAGGATCTGTGGTCTATCAAATCTAATGTAGTGGTTTGGTCCCCCTAATGCATGTTCACACACTGCAGATTTATTTTCGCGCCTATGTTTCATATCTGCGATATGTTCTTTTACCCGAGTCCCTATACTGTAAAGTTTTATTCTGACGACGAAGCCTGTAAAGGCTACGAAACGTCAATAAATAAATAAAGTTTCGAGCATTAACCCGTAAAAGTTTTATTTAATGAGTGATGTGCGTGAAAACCTAAGAAACAAATATGTATGTGTTTCCTGAGTGACCAAATAGCCTCGACCGTATGGTGATAAATTAACATTGGTGGTTAAAACGAAAGCTCCTTTTAAATTTCAGTGCAATGTCTTCCTTCATTATAACCAAACTCTTTCCGATCATGTTTTCCTATTCCGAGACCGAGGCTGTCCCAGAAGGATTCGTCGCCGAAGTTTGAGGTTTTCTTCATCTCTATCTGGTCCGGCGAGGACAGTACCAAGTAATTGAGCTGTTTAGAATTCGGCGACTGCGGTAACCAAAGCGTACCCGGGACTTTAGGAACTCTGAAAGGGAAAGAAAATTTTAATAACAATACGGATAATTACTTAACTTTTTTGTCTATCAGGTAGATTATTATAAAGTATTGGACACTTATTTTTTCTATCAAAACATTACAGGGATATATTGATTTGAAATGTCGCATGACTCTTCGTCTTGGCACAATTTGTACTTAGACGTGACTGAGCCTCCTCTCTCAAACTTTGACGCGCTTCATCTTTGCAATTTTATGGTTGATAGACAAAATAAAAAATAGTATGCACGGACCACACATTTGAAGTGTAACTTCTTTTCCTTAAAAACCCAACATTAGGCGGTGCATAAGGCATAGAGGTGTGGAGCAGATGTACAGGGTGGTCCAACTAGTGACATCAACAATTTTTTTTTGATTCCTCGCACCTGGGGGTATCCGAAAATACCCCATGTATGTCCCGCGATTTTTCTTAGTTCTCGAGTTATATTTTTTTTGTGTATTTTTAATGATTTCTGCCAGCGGGGTTACAAAACATCATATCTTTTTTCGTAGAAGGCATTTTGCAGTCTTATTTTTGTGACATAACCGAAATTATTATAAAATTCCACATGCAAAAGTTATTTTACAGGAATTTAAATTAAATTAAATTTGAAATTAAAAGAAAAATCGCGGAACATACATGGGGTATTTTCGGATACAAGGTGCGAGGAATCTAAAGAAAATTGTTGACGTCACTAGTTGGACCACCCTGTATATTATTATCGCGTGTAATGCCTTCGGCTTCGCCGAGTTACCCTCCAACGTATCGTCGGGAAGAGATGCGCAAGCATCCCACACACACACACACATATATAGGTATATATGGTCTTCATTGTATCGTGGTACGATAAACGAATCTTTTGGTTACATTCAAATTTTTCAGTATGTCAAAAATTTTAATTGGCGCGTAACCGCAACGATGCAACGCAATAACTGCAACACGATCTTCTTTAAGCGTCCACTACATATTTAAAAATGAGTAAAATTCTAAAAAGTATACATTTTATTTTCATGAACAATTCGAGATTCGAATTCAATAAACTTTGTTGTGGCCAGCATTCTAAAAATAAAGTTTTTACTGTGTGACAACACTTATGACCTGACTGTGTATATGTATATAGCCGTCTGACGCTCGTGACGCATTTCCGTTTCATCTTTTCCATAGGATTTTCCAATTACACCCCTTCCGAAAAGAAGTTTCTCTTCAATAAAAAATAAGTATCCATTATTTTTTGATAATCTAACTGACATCATTCCTATTAACTTTACAGCGACAATTTCACATACAAGTTAAGATACGTACAGAGATACGTGTACCTAAGTCAAACATAAATGTATAACGTTAATTTCAGAGATGATAATGTAGTAATTTTAATTGCGAAACATGTTGTAGTGCGCCTGCTGAAAGAATGCGCTCGTGAAAGGTCGTATTAGTTCTTATGTTAACACAATAGAGTTTAGTATCGGACATCTCTTCATTACTTAGTTATAAGTGTACTTTGTTCTTTTAATTTAAGGTGTATTACGAAAGCATTCTTTCAACAGACGTTCCTACCGTGGAAACAAAAACAGCCACACAAAGCAAGTAATTATTGTTTTTTTTTCTCATTACAATCTAAGAGGAACGCGAAGGCGTAGTTTTACATAACGCGCCCAGGGCCACTTACAATTAGCATCCCCCTCTTGAGAATGACTAAAACGAATGAAAATATAGGCTTTTTCGAGTGTATGCTGTTGGTTGCAGATGACCTTTACAGCGGGTTTGGGGACGACAAGATCCTAAGGGGACGTCAAGCCAAGAATTGGTGAGTGCCTCTAAAGTTATTCTAGGCGGATCGGATGGCATCTCCCACGGGGGGAGTCTCCTCTTCGTCTGGAGAATCTAGACCACTCGAGCCTGAAGGGGTCGGCTCAACTACGCGTCTTTGAGTCTCGGACCACGGCTCTAGATAGCCGTTGTCGTGGGGGGCGCGGAAAAACGCTCAGGTACGTACCTGTACCTTGTATGAAAACATATATATTTATAATTAATGCGTTTATATGAGGAGCTCGATGGCGCAAGTGGTTAGCGCGTTCGGCTGCGATCGTTGAAACTAAGCAACTTTCGCAGTGGTCGGTCATTGGATGGGTGATCAAAAATCTTCTATCTCCTCGAGTTCCTCCGTGCTTCGGAAGGCACGTTAAGCCGTTGGTCCCGGCTGCATCTGCAGTCGTTAGCACCCGCCAATCCACATTGGGCTCGCGTGGTGGGTCATGGCCCTCTGTCCCTATTCCATCCATAGGGAAGGCCTGTGCCCCATCAGTGGCGACATTAATAGGCTGATGATAATGATGACGAATGCGTTTATATGGCTTCTGGCGCCCCTCGCAGCTCTTGCAGCCATCCCTTTCAGCCACCCGCCTCAGTCCATGGGCCTTTTGGCGTTAGTTTAAATACACCCCTGAGTAGAGCATAGCACAGCATTGCTTGATGTTGATTGTTTACTACTAGACTATTTGTTTACTAATAAAATTTTTACACAAAAGAATACATGAATTTACAAGAAAATCTTTGCGCTGCATCGGGAAACGTCATCCTGTCGTCCCACGCTGTTCGTGACTTTACGTGGCAATCCCGAGGGTTTCGAGACAAGAGCCGTCTAGAAAAGTTCAATGGAACCATAAAAGCTATTCACGTGGACCGCACATAGTATACAGTACTTCACTGCGCTAAACTTTGAGTAAATACTGTAAAAAAATTTGATTGCCACGCGCTGTTTGTTATGCCGATAGCGTATCGTTGGTCCACGATCCTACAAGATATAAATGAGATCAGGAGCTGTATATTTGAAGCACTCGCTTTGCGTCGAACGCTCGATTTCTACTAATTTTCATTGTACATAATAAATGCCGTCTTATATAATCGTTCGACCGCAACGAGTGGTCTCAACTACTCGTTGCTTGGTGAATGGTAGAATAATTGTCACATATTTTCTGAATCTTTTTGAAATACAGATAGGATGACGATTTGTTCTCATGTACAGGTTATGGCGTAAGTGAAAATTATGCTGACAAATTCTGAACGTTACCATTTAGGAATTTCAAAAGTCCTGACAAAAATCTTGATATTTCAAAGAAAATCCGGACTTTTTAGTCATAAAATGGTGCCATTACTCACTTAGTTACAATGGTATGGTATTTAAATCAATATGTACATTTGTGTGTGTGAGGAGCTCGATGGCGCAGGTGGTTAGCGCGTTCGGCTGCGATCGTTGAACTTAAGCAACTTTCGCAGTGGTCGGTCATTGGATGGGTGACCAAAAATTACTATCTCGAGCTCCTCCGTGCTTCGGAAGGCACGTTAAGCCGTTGATCCCGGCTGCATCTGCAGTCGTTAGCACCCACCAATCCGCACTGGGCCCGCGTGGTGGGTCATGGTCCAATCTCCCTATTCCATCCATAGGGAAGGCCTGTGCCCCAGCAGTGGGGACATTAATAGGCTAATGATGATGATGACCCTCTACGTACGCTGTTAAGTGCGGAACCGTGAGATCCCGTTTAAGGGACTTCACCGCGTCTATAAGCCTGACGATCTTGCACAGGTTATGGCGTAAGTAAAAATTATGCTGACAAATTCTGAACGTGGCGCAAGTAGGGTTCCCATTTAGGAATTTAAAAAGTCCTGACAAAACTCCTGATATTTAAAAAAAAAGGACTCTAGTTTCAAAATGGTGCCATTACTCACTTAGTTACAATGGTATAGTATTTAAATCAATATGTACTTATGTTGTTCATATTCAATGTAATTTAAAAAATCCGGACAATTTAAAGATCCGGAAAGTCCGGACTAACTTCTAAAAGTCCAGTCATGTCCGGACTAATCCAGACGGATGGTAACCCTAGGCTCAAGTAAACAATGCGTCACTGATTCTCACCCTGTTGTGGCGTAAGTGTAAACAATGTTGACGAGAATGTCGGCTACTCGGTTGTCGTCGGTATTCCCAAAATCAGGGCTCAATATATAGCCCGTGTCGTCACCGTGAGATACGCCTGAAAACATGCTATTGGTTAGTGAAATCACATATTATGAATTTTTAAAAGCTTTGGTGTACAGATTGTTCCAAATCTTTGCAACATCAAGGGAAAGTACCTCAAATACTGTAGATATAGAAAGTTTTTCTAATAAAAAAATGGTTGCCTGTAAAGTCGGTTTTACGGGCGAAGATTTTACGTGACAACGTCTTTTTCTCGGTAGAATATTTATTGATATGAATATAATTAAATTGCACAATAGGAACAAGGAATTGAATGAAAATAAGAATTGCACAAATTTTAACTATAGAAATATATTTTGTTTACTAAAACATTGTACATGTAAACTAAAACTTAACACGAGAGACTCATCGTAACGTTACCGAGCGTTACACTTTTTCATAAGTGACTCCCAGCCGCAACCTAATTTAAGACGTTGTCACGTCAAAAAGACTTCATTTTTATTTTGAATACAACACTAACTGCATTCCCGCATGAACCGGTAATCATACCCGCAAAATGTTTAAAATAAATTACGGGTAGTTTAACTATACCTACCTATTGAAAGGCTCATACATGTTCAATTGTGCATTAACATACTTCTTGCTATTAACATAGCATCTAAATAATAATCTCGAAAAGATCACGAAATTTAAGGTTTAATCTGAAATTCAGTTCTGATCTCTTTGTCGTACTTTTATGTACTACTTTACTATAATTTTAATGTTTTACATTTTTTACTGAAATTCTACCATATATTATCATTTGTTTTATTTGATTGACACCTATGTTACATTCATAATTCTATGGATTGTGATTTTACAATTTTACTTAGATAGTTTAACTACCGAAAAATAATGCGTTCAACTGTAAGCAGTGTGTTACGGTCTTTAGGCAGTTTATAATATCGCGAGATAGAATATAATCTAACTAACGCTATTTACATTTTCACTGTGATGTTAAGACAATATAAAACCACATAACCGAAAGGGTCCCTACGTTCCCCTCAAGAACTAAGCCAAAGCAAACAGGCACTGAGGAGATTTTCTCTTTATACACGGGCCAGGAGAGACGCTTGAGATTATAACCATAAAGGCTGCAAACAGCACTCCAGTCGATGTAATCCTGCCGTGACTGTGGATAAATCATTTAACCTATAGTACTGAAGGTATTTTCCTAACTAACCCTGGATGACTACAGGGCTGAAGCCCCGCGAGGTTGGACTACGCCCATTTCTACATATAACTGGTTGTCTTATCGAAAACAACAATGAATGAATATTAATTCAACATCACCAATATCGATCAAACGAGCTTCAGAATTCCTGATAAGTTTTTGTGAATGTGTAGAATTAAGAAAGGTTTATTGTTGTAGTCTCTTGATTGCCAGTAGGACTCTTAATTAAATATAACCTTTAGAACTCCTGTATTTCTACCTAAAAGTTTTTGTGAACGTTCAGAATTTGTAAAACTCCATTTTTGTAATATCTTAGGGACTTGTTAACAAGAGAGTGAGAAAAATATCTTCATTGTATACTAATTATTAGCTTTTATGAATGCTTAGAATTAAGTAACAACTCCCTTTTTATAATATCTTAATTATTTAGTCCCGGAGAGGTCAGTTTATTATTCAATACTCCTATTTTTTTGATTTCTTTCTTTGTTTTCATGGTTTTCTGAAGTAAGCTAGTGGGAGCAGGGGAAGGAGACAAATACCATTACATTTGGCGCCCGAACAGTATCACCAAAATCGTCTTTTAAATTAAAGTTCAGCACACGATACGATAAACGACAAATTCTATTTTATTTACAACAACTTTTATTAGAACAATCCTTTCGAAGTAAGCTAGTAGGAGCAGGGGAAGGAAACAAATACCATTATATTTGGCGCCCGAACAGGGCATATAACTTCATGTATAAAACGACGTTAACGTCAAATCTTGAAATTTTTTTTAAACGACATCTTCATCTTGCCCGAATACCAATGCAGCAGTCATCACTTATTGTGCATGCTGAGCATTTTCAGTGCTGGCATCACATAATATTCTCTAGAGTAAACTCTGTCTTTATTTATATCAAAACGAAATATATAACTGCGACATCTCGATGGAATTCTCAGCATAATATCATAAAGGTTTATGTTTCTTTTTCTCTTTCAAAATATGAAGATTGCCAACAACGGTATTAAATACCCTAGCTACAACAACACGAACAAAATCGTTGCTGAAACCCGACCAAAAGGTACATTGGACGATCCACAGAGCGCCATAAGATGTTCGCGTCAAAAACAATATATGCATTATTTAAACATTGAAAGTCACTTTTAATTCATACAGCATAAGCTCTTAATTTAAACACATTCGTACAAGAGTTACGACAGTTCGAAATGCAAGCTTGTAAAATTTTACTACTTAATGCTATAGGTGGAAGATTATAGACTTTATTTCTTTAGTGCTACGCGAAATTCTGAATGCGCTGTTAGTAATGTAGCAGGTATGGACCGCGAGGAAAAGAGACGGCTATATAACCGACTATGCATTTTAATATCAGAAATATTTTCGGAGCTCGTCGGAGAGCATCTTGATTTTTTAACGGTCCGCGGTGACTGTGCACCAAGAAGTGCCTGAATGGTGTTCAAGGACTTCTTGAAAGGGACACATTTTGAGCGTACGTGGTGTATCTAGGGTATTTAATATCGTTTATTGCCAAATAGTACGCGCTTACCATAGTTGTCATTGCTGCCAAGTATGAGGGTGGTGATACTTACCATAGTTGTCATTGCTGACAAGTATGAGGGTGGTCATACTTACCATAGTTCTCATTGCTGCCAAGTATGAGGGTAGTAATACTTACCATAGTTCTCATTGCTGTCAAGTATGAGGGTGGTCATACTTACCATAGTTCCCATTGCTGCCAAGTATGAGGGTGGTCATACTTACCATAGTTCTCATTGCTGCCAAGTATGAGGGTGGTCATACTTACCATAGTTTTCATTGCTGCCAAGTATGAAAGTGGTCATACTTACCATAGTTCTTATTGCTGCCAAGTATAAGGGTGGCCATACTTACCATAGTTCTCATTGCTGCCAAGTATGAGGGTGGTCATACTTACCATAGTTCTCATTGCTGCCAAGTATGAGGGTGGTCATACTTACCATAGTTTTCATTGCTGCCAAGTATGAAAGTGGTCATACTTACCATAGTTCTTATTGCTGCCAAGTATAAGGGTGGCCATACTTACCATAGTTCTCATTGCTGCCAAGTATGAGGGTGGTCATACTTACCATAGTTCTCATTGCTGCCAAGTATGAGGGTGGTCATGCTGACCTGTCCACGGTAGCTGAACCGTAAGAGATAAGTAGGTTGTCCAGTTATCGCTGCATGTTCCTCCACCGTCTTACCAAGTCCAGCTGAGAAAATGCGGTCACCCAGTGCCTGGAAGAAAGGAGGCTTTTATTGCCCGGACCAATATAATCAGGACATCTTCAAGGCCAGAGTGAACAGGCATCTTCTGGGCAGACGTGTACCATCCTAGGCCTCATCATCGCTTTCCATCAGGCAAGGAGGCAATATTGTGGTCAAACCCTTTGCCTATTATGCATTAAAAAAAATATTTTAATTTTTCTATTGTATTGCTTTTTATAAAACACCCATGCATTGTGAATACCCTAACTTTATGCATTTTGTAAACATCTCTGTAACCACATGAGTGCAATAAACTATTTGAATTATTTGATTTGATTTGCTTAACGTGTATATTGAAGCAAAAGGGAGATCGATGTAAAAATTATTTGGCCACTCATTAGTAGTATTTTTTTGGTTAATTTTTTAAGATGTAGTCCAGTTACAATGATAGCAGCGAGAGCAGTTAAATGAAACTAAATTTAACTTCGCCTTACCATTTCAAAATACTTTAACATAAAACAATTCGAAATCATTGATTACTGTGTTTTAGTTAAAAATATTACTGCCCCATTTGATGAAGTAGTAGAACTTAAATCCAAGTATGAAGAAGCAATCAGAAAACTTGCTGAAAACTTAGTAAAGTTCGTGCCAAAGGCGCGGCTTGTAGATCCCCATTCCATTTATAACTTTAAATGAAGGTGTACATTTTATGTATGAAACGAGAATGACAAATACGAGAGTACGATTCGATGACATTTCTTCTTTATGAATTTTTAAAAATTTCTCGAGAACTTAGTTGATCGCTTTTTTGAATTCAGTTTTCCTTTTACATCGCAAATGTATTGTAACAATTGAATTTTTGGAGAACTTCTTTCAGAAAATTCGGAAGTCGTGTTTTTGTGTTGCAATTTCATTATTGTAGGCACACTGTGGTAAAGGTGCCATTCCGAGACGGGCTGCAGACCGCAAACTGCAGCGACACCACTTGTTTATAAAATACTAGCTGTCCCCCGCGGTGTCATCCCCGGTTTATTAGAGATATTTTCCCGCAGGAAAACGTAACCTATGTGTTAATCCAGAGTGTCAGCTAACCTCATACCAAATTTTATTATAATCACTCTAGCCGTTTAGACGTAAAGAAGTAACAAACATACACACTCACTAACTTTTGCTTTTATAATATTAGTGTAATGAATCTCTGTGAAATTGATCTCAAAACTTGATTCTGATTGCGTCGTTGCACTCGGGTGGGAGCGGTGATTGGTTCGCTTGTTTATGTCGCGTCATTTGATTGGCTAATATTTTTTAGGTGGAAAAGTAGTGGGGGAGAGCCGGCGACATCGGTTCCTATACAAACGGTCTATCGGTGATCGTACACCGTTTGTACGGGAACCTCTATCTGTATTCTGTGGTTATATGCATTATGCAGTCACAGCATGCGCCATGCTCGGAAAAACAAGCCACACTACCGTCGACGCAGTCGTTAGCCTCTTTTTTTGGTTTTTTGCAGCGTACTTCCCGTGAACTCAGAATCTTGAAATTTGGTACGAAGTAACGTCTTATAATACAGATAAAGGAAAAATTGCGAAAAAATTTTTAGTTACATCTTATAATAAAAAAAAAAATGAAAATTCAGGTTTGTACGGAATCCTCGGTGCGCGAGTCCGGTCCTTACCACTTTGCCGGTTTTTTGTAGGTATTCTTAATTTATGACAGTTAAGGTTTGTATGACAGTAAAACTGGTACAACTGCCGGCAAATTCGGTCACAGGGATATTTTGTACCGAAATCTTAGCGCTTCTCAGTTTATACTAACTTTTCGTCTGGTAGTAAATGGTATCCGTGCATAGTAAAAAATGCGTTTATTTTGGTTATATCAGAATGAAGAATGCAGGAAAAAAATAGATTTTATAAAATAGTGATAGCTGAAAACGACTTCCTTGACAAAAATATAGAAAATAACTTAGAACTAAAGTAAATAACCTTAAGTCTTTTACTCCATGTTTGATACTAAGCTAAATATTTTATTAGTTTGCATTTTCTAATCGCACATAATATTTAAATGATCACCAATATATATACATATATATATATATATATATATATATATATATATATAATGGTGATATATTTTTTATTTTGTAAATTATTTTTTTATGAAGGTAAGTAGGTTAAGCCATATAGTTTTTAAGTTTGTGTTAATTTTAATGTATTGTAATATAATCACTGTATAAAGACTAATTATCTCTGAGTTCGATCACTAAAAAATAGTAATTGATTCTCTAAAAAATACAATGGGTAACTTAACATAACCTTTAGATTGGCAAATGTATTTTTTAGGTGATCTTTTAAATTTTTTTTCAGAATCATTTAAATATTTCCTTTTTCTAATTCGATAACTGACTTCTAAGCTCGACGAAAGTTAAATTAACAGTGCTCTTTGAAATCAATCTACTGCCTGGCTGTTTTTATTCTCAATTTCCGTCGCTATACTCCAAAAGGAACTCTTTGTTTTTTATTTTAAAAAGCAATTACGAAATATTGAATTGTACGAGAATTGCGCATTTACGCAAGCCTTGCAGCCATAAAAGGTCTGTTAAACAGAAGTTTGTCGTCAACTTTTATTTTGCTCTAATTGAATAGCCGCCTGTGCCTACAGTACTTTTGTTCAGAGCAATTATTTCTTGGAAACTGTTTTCTTTGATAGACTTTTATTATTCTGGTTAACATTTTATTTGCCTCAGTAGCGGATCACGTGTTTTATTCTTTCTCGTACAAGTTACGAGGTCTGGGTCTACATAATTATAAATGTATGGAGTTGCCCCTTACTCGTATTTGTTGAGAAAGTTTTATTGTGCCCAGTACTGCACACATTCATTAATTATTTAAGCTAACTTGTGTGTGTTATGAACAATACAAGTGGGTTTTGTAACTTTAGAGTTTGTTATGTTTTTATTTATTTTTAAGCATATAACTGCTAGATGTTTAAATCTAAAGAAAAGTATTACTAGAAAAAAATCCACGCGGATCAGGCAGCGGACGGGACTCGAACTCGCGACCCTTCGCAATCCGGGCGAATGCACTGACCATTATGCTACCACGGCCTTATTCGCCGCGTCGAAATTTTCCTAGCCTTAAGCTGCAAGGCAGCGCCAACTCTTCGCATTGTAGGTAACCCACAATGTCAAATAAATACTTTTTCAAGTATTAAACATTTGAAAGAACGCATAATGGTCAGTGCATTCGCCCGGATTGCGAAGGGTGCGGGTTCGAGTCCCGTCCGCTGCCTAGTCCGCGTGGTTTTTTTTTAGTAAAACTTTTCTTTAGATTTAGAGTTTGTGTTAGAATGAATGTTGGGCCTCCTTTCCCAATTTTGTTGTCCATTAATGAGAGTTACTATTCCCAAAAGTCGTGGCTACAAATAATCACAAAATAGAATTAATTTAGGTCCTGAGTTATTGGTTGTTGACCTAATGTAGCTGAGTAGTGGAAATATTACATGGCTTAGGTAAGGTTAATATTATTCCTGTCAATACCCAGAGTTGCCCCTATAAGAAAGAAGTATGTGAGAAATGCAATTAGCGCATTCCCAGCGGTTGCGAAACTGGAAAATTCTACTGGGATAGTTAAGGTATTCGCACATATGTCAAGATTTCGTTATTCGCATTCGCATTCAGAGTTCGTTATATGCAATCATATGAAACCTTGCATACTGGGAAACCAGACCAAACCGTTACCAGAGATCTTTTTTTTCCACCGACAATAAAATTAATTATTTATTTATTTATTTTATTTATATATTTATATTATGGAATGAGCTCTTCCCTCCTCGGTGTTCCGCCAGTATTATAACATAGTCCTCTTCAAGAGAGGCTTAAAAAGAGTGTTTACGAAAGGCATCGGTATGGCTGTGTCACTGGCATAGCTGATGTCCACTTAACGGTGAGCACTTAATATTAGGTGGCCCGTCAGCTCGTCTGCCTTCGAAGGCAAAAAAAAACGCACGCGCCGAATACGTCGTTTTTCCCTATATTTATGGTTCTTACCCGAACGATTTGAGGGAAGGTTTCCCGAGAGACAGGCTCTTCTCCGAAGTAATGGTGTCTGATCTTGGCGGCCATAGCTGCGTGCCTGCTGAAGGGCAGAGTGTCGTTGAACTTGAAAATGTCGCTGGCCAGCTGGTCCCAGCGAGAATCCAGGTCCTTCAGCACGCCGGGGTATTTCAGGAACACTGGGACAATGCGGTTAGAAAATTGGTCTGACCCTGATGATATTAAAGTGCGAATGTAGCGAAGATAGCTGGGGCTGTTTAAATAGTGTTATGTGCGTGTAATCTTGAGAAGCTCGATGGCGCAAGTGGTTAGTGCGTTCGGCTGCGATCGCTGAAGTTAAGCACCGTCCGCAGTAGTCGCTCGTTGGATAGGTGACCAAAAATTTACTATCTCGAGCTCCTCCGTGCTTCGGAAGGCATGACCCGTTAGACCCGGCTGTATCTGCAGTCGTTAGCACCCATCAATCTGCAATGGGACCGCGTGGTGGGTCATGGCCCAATCTCCGTATTCCATCCATAGGGAAGGCCTGTGCCCCAGCAGTGTAAATGTAGTAGTGTAGACATTAATAGACTGATGATAATGATTTTTAATAGTACACCTAGAAAATTACCTGTCTTAAAATTAACTATGAGTAAAACAAAGATGGCGGTTGTGATTTAAATGGTTTTGTGTGGTGTTGAAGCGCAAGTGTTTAGCGCGTTCAGTTTGCACTCGTGGAAGTGAAGCATCTTTAGCAATGGCCGTTGATAAATAATAATAAGTGACCAAAAATTTACTATTTTGTGTTTCTAAGAGCTTCGGAAGGCATTTAACAATTGTTACTCGCTGCACAATAGGGATGACGATGGGTAAATTAAACGGAATTCTATTAAGTCTACCAGTTGGATTATTTTATTTTACAATATTGAGTTTATGATTTTTTCCAGTTCAAATTGATCATTCTGATAGAACCAGAGTGGTCTAAAAGTGATACAACGAATATCCACTAGATGGCAGCACAATCACTGTTACGGTTTTTAGTCTGTGATCTAAATTTGAGGTGCCATGCTGGCCTTACTAATATAGGCCAATATGGTTAAAAAATGAGTTAGGCCACTATGGTTCTGATGGCCTCAATTTAAGTAATGAAAAAAAACTGAGAAGGAAATGGCGCGCATATCCAAATGGCGCCACGAGCAGTGGTGGAAATAGAACTAAATCTTTCATCTCTTTTTTTCTTTTTAGTATTAAAGTGAGACATAGCTATAGACTGAAAGCTCCTCCGAGGAAGTTCGAACGAAATTTAAAAAATACCGTAAAGAATACGCACATTGCCATGTATGGAAACGGGCGTAATGATTTATGGCGCGTTATTTTAAATTTTCGAAATACCTACAACCTTAAATGTATACAACCTTCGTAAATGCATTTTTTGAGCAAATGTGTTAAAAAATATGAAAAGGTTTGCACAATATGATACATGTATAATAATCCAATACTTTTTAATTCTACCTGATAGACCATGAAAAAAAAGTTTGTCATTTTATTCACACTAGGCCCGTGTGGTACATCATCCAATCTCCATATTTCCGGGATATTATAGGCAGATAATGATGATGCGTGTTATCTATTAAATATGATGGAGGAATTCCTCAATTTAAACGGGAAATCCCTAACAGTGACCTTCATCCCTTAAATTATTTAGAACTTTAGCTGCTGCTGCTACTGTATGTCTTTCGTGGTTATGATAATGTCCCCGATGATGCAGTCTAACTAAAGACTGTTCGTAAAAAAACTCATTTGTATGATATAATAGGTAAATCAAAGAAGTCGTCAACTCACTTATGGCAGGATACAATCCTTCCTCAGAGCACGATAACACTAGGAGGCTAGCATTGTATATGTGCCCGGATTGCATGATTTTCTGAGGCTCCTGTGTTAGGAAGGCGTTTTCACTGCTGGCTGGTTCTTCTGTTGGTACGAAGGGCGTGAACACGTGAACCGTCCAATCCTTGAAAATTGTTATAAGTTATCTAGTCAAAATCTTTTCCAAGGGGGTAAACGAGGCGCTCAAAAATTTAGATTTTTTGCAAAAAATTTGAAAGGGCTCTTAATATAATAATATTTTATTAAGAGTAAAGTAAGCTAAATATAATAATATTAAAAGCCCTTTCACATTTTTTGAAAAAAATCTTAATGTTTAAGCGACTCGTTTACCCCCTTAAGATTTTAACTATTTCCAATAGAAATAAAAAGTAGATTTATACGTCCTATTGTAACTTAATGTAGAATATTTGCAAATACTATTTTCCTTTTTTTGTACTGATCGTTCTATACTGCAGCTAGTTTACGAAAAAAAAAGATAATATGCAAAACTTTAAACGCCTCAATTCCTCAATAATGTTCAATAAATTAGATCAAATTAATTACTACGACATCAGAAATATGTTTTTGTTGTAAAATAATTTATTAGAATCTTGGTTTTCCATCTCATTAATTAACAAAAAAAAACATCTAACCTCCGTGAGTATTCCCAAAAAATAATGCAGGTTTACCTCGTATTTTGATATTGAATTAAATAGAATTACTATCAATAACTTTCATAAAACTAATCTACCATCATTGAACTACTGAAATATGTATATATTTTTATAATTAGTTCATTAATAATTATTTTATAAGACTCGAAACATCACCCTTAAAATGCAATATATACTTATAGTGCAAATCTACCTACGCGCCGATCAGTACGGCAGCGACGCAATTTTGTAAAAGTGCTCTAAGTCCAGTTTCCAGTTAAGCGAGGTCACGCTTATGTTTAAACGAGACGTAGCCAAATCCTCCTTTCTTATGACTGGGAAATGCCCTTACGCATATCTCGTCTACCGGTGGAGCACCATAAGGGTATCTGCGTACTTCTCCTTGCCTGCTTCATCCAGCGCAACGCTTAATAAAGCGGCACAAAGCTCTACCCAGTAAAAAACAGACAATACTTCTGCACCAGCCACCCGGCACGCACTATGAGAACCAAGGTTGGTGGAATTGTCCTGGAATTGGGCAGTTTTGCGGCACCCGTCTTTTACTGGCCGCACTCCTGCAAAGTGATTGGCAGGGGATCCCCACACTTCCTGATGTCAAGTGTAAGTAGAGTCCAGTTGTAAAGTTGGCTGATGCGGCAGAAACGTGTGCCGCTCCAGCTACAACTATACTTACCTTGCTAGCTTGACCCAATCCTATGGAGCCCTACTCTGTTAATCCACCGTAACCACGGGTGAATACTGCTGAAACATTACTCACTAAGAGAATCTACAGATGCAACCTCTATTGACATTTAATACTCGTATAAATGTTGAAGCATGATTTGATGAATCTATTTTCGCGAATTAATTTATTATTTAATTAAAAAATGGCGATGTAATCTGTCAACCTTAATTAAAAAGATAGGATTTTTGAGAAAACGCGAATCGCCTAAGGAAGATTACGAAAAAGTCTTTGGCTTATTATAAATATGATTGGGTTTTTGGGGTTCAAACTAGGTAAGCGTCATGACGATGACGAGCCAGCACTGCAAGCGTAGCGAGCGTGGGGCAGAAACGGACAGTGAAGCGAGAAAAAAATAATTCGCTAACAGTAACATTGAGCAATATCATAGCATAGCATAGGTCTAATCATCTGCGTTTTCCTAAAAATCCGTAGAATTTTCAAAAATAATAGCAATGAACATAAACATTAAAGTCTGCTTTTAACATTACCATATGTAAGAACTTTAAGAAAATATCATGAATTTTCAGTGACCAGTATTGGTAATTACGTGTGTAGGTGCTCTCAGTGCGATGTTGTAAATTTGGAGATTGTAACAAAATTTACTAAATACTTAGAAATATTTATACTTACATACATCTGTATTTGAGCAGCCATTACCACGTCCGCGGGCCTGCTGATCAGACAGTCTACCATCTCCTGGGAAGTGGAGGTAGTGCAGTTAGCAAGTGCAGCAAGACTCCTGGCGTACTTCGCGGGGTGCTTGGTAAAGGCCCAGGGTTGCAGGGGAGAACCGCTGCTTGTGATGCCGCGAGTAAAAGTACCTGTTGCAATCGTATCGTTTAATGAACACCAGTGTTTTATGTGAGTATTATTTGACAGACTTTGTGTGGAAGTATGTAGAGGACAAAAGTCCCTGAATCGTGAGCAAAATGTCCGCCTAGGACTTGTCACGGACTCAACGCACGCTCAATTTTGTAGCCCTGACATTTAGAATATTAACTTAAACACGCTGTTTAAGTAAATATTCTGAGGTTACGTTGTCTTGTAATTAACATGAAGTTTGAGAAAAGGAGAAGATGTTTTAAAAAAGAATACTGGGTCCATCCCTTTCAATTGGATCTAGCGCGCAACGTGGGCTATACTTCGCTGTGTGCGTTGTTGCACCTAGTCATATGCGTTCTATTTTTTCTGGGACATCTATGTACTTTTGTCTTACATGAAAACAAAAAGGGAAGATACGGAACTCGCGGCTCAAAAGTGATCCGCTTAAATTGTGGTCATGCACTACAATTCGTTTTAGTCACAATTGGACATTCAAACACGCGGCATGTACAGTCAATATAACAATGTTTTGCGTATATTCTGTGTTATAAAGATAAAATAATGCCTTTTGAAGCTCTTATAAACAACAAAAATAGTTCAGAATCAAATAACAAATGCCTCGGCATCACTTTCATTATTAAAACTGTAAAAAAAAAATCTCAAAAATCACGGTTTGTCGTGAATGTAATTTACATAATCGCTATTTTCATATCAAGGAAATGACAACAATTCAGCTCAGCCGTACGGACTCGGACACAGACTCGTCGTTTCGCTTGCGCTGCATTGAAGCGTGCAGTTCTGTCTGTCTCGCTCGATTGAATATTTATTTACAGACGTGTGCGTGAGAGTTGCTTATGTAGTTGAGTCGGAGCATATATTATTTGATGCTAGTATGAGCGCACCGTATCTTCCCTTTTTGTTTACATCTAAAACTATAACTAATCTTGTTCAGTCTGTCGGTGTTACCGGTGGTTCGCGAAACTTTTAGTACGCACTATTTTCAATCCCTCGTATGCGTGACCTTTTTAGTTATATTATAAGCGTTCTGTTTTGGTGGACAAAAATCCCTCGCCTGCGCAGGCCATTCACTTTCCAAAGACATATGAATGTCATGATAAAATTTATCGCGTTCTAAAGGTAACGGTATAATATAAAGTAGCGAGGTAAGTATATAATTATACGTTCGAATGGGTAGATTAGAACACCGAATGACATCTCGGAGGTCTCAAAGGGTCTGCGTCTAATAACCATCAAGACTAACCTTCGCTATCCGTGCAAATGCGCCGTCCACATTTCTACAAATAGTTAATCTTAACGGATTCGTCGAACTTCTTCCAGTAAATATACTTTTATGTTGGTGTCGATTCTGGCATGATTCTCTAAACTTACAACTAAATTTAACATCAGTCTCTGCTTTTCATTTTGTATAGAGAATGACAAGGATACACTGTTGTAAAATTTTATTTTAGGTTTATAGAATCATGTCAGAATCGACGACACTATTATCTGAGGCTGCTGGGTTAAATCAATAGGCATGCAAGGAAAATCCAGTAATTCAAAGCTTAAATAAAAAAAGCGAACAAATGCGAGTCGGACTCACCCACCGAGGGTTCCGTACAAAGTTGTAGAAAAGTCAGGAAACGGAAAAAAAACTAAAGTTTAAGTATTAATATATTTTATGATATTAAAATAAATGTTATTCTGACGACGTAGCCTGTAAAAGCTACGAAACGTCAATAAATAAATAAAGTTTCGTGCATTAACCCGTAAAAACTAGTTTTAAATAAATGTTATTATTGTGCAATGTGAGTTTTAATACACGGATTAATTAATATTGTGAAAGAAACGCCGACATAGCTCGGACGATTACAATACGCAACATAAACGGTTGTATCTTTTTTACGTTAACTGAGAAGTGTGATTTTTTACAAGCTTCGAAGGTCCATAGACTTGAGTATATGTTTTAAATTTCAAATACATAGATATTTCCACGCGTTTCCGAGATCGAAGGGCCTTGACAGACAGACATATAAACAGCCGTACCTTATTTTTCATGTTAACTTAGAAGTTAGATCTTTTCACAGCTTCAATTAAGGGACCGTAGATGGGTTTAATTTCAATTCGATACCTCCACGATTTCCTGAGATAAAAGGCCTAGACAGATGGACAAAAAAGTAATCTTATAACAGTTCTGCTTTTTCCTTTTTAAGTACGAGAAACTAAAAAACCAGCGTTACCTCTTGACATCGGAGAGAGATAGTGATAGTATACACTGGCACCGCCTGCCGATGCACCCAAGATGGTGATACTGGTGTTGTCTCCTCCGAACGAATGGATGTTGTTCTTGATCCAGTGGAGTGCCAGCGACTGGTCCTTCAATCCGTTGTTACCAGGAACAACATCGTCACCCGTGCTCAAAAATCCTGAAAAATAACTGTCAGATGACCGGATAGAAGCACCTAAATCGGGAAAGGGTATTGGGTCATGGATAGCAACGGCGCGAATGACATCCTTCCGCAGCGGACGAGGAGCGGTGCGGTGACTGCAAGTACAGACTTGGACAGCGGTTTTAGTGAAACGAATTCGTTTACATGAATTAGTGTATGATGCCTTCGCTTACATATTTTACAACCTGGGCCCTTACAAGTATTAGCGTAATGTCCGCTACGAAAACCATTAAAACATATTCTATAAGTAGGTAACAACTTGTATCGCGATTCGCTACTTAGTGCAAGAAACTAAGGACAGTTATTTAAATAATGATCATCATTACAATTTGGGCACGGATTCATAGCAGAATTCGATATCTTTTTATTACTACTCTGATAAGAAACCATTGCTTTAATCTTAGTAGATTTTTTACTATGATTTTGTTTCACATTGTTGCTTTAATCGTTTCAATCAAGTTTGCAAGATTACGCATAAATTCAAGAAAGGCTTCGAAAGTAATCGACTTATCTTAATAGGCCGCGCACTTAGCTCCCAGCGCGGGCAGTCCTGCGCACGTCTACGGGATCACCCGAGATACCCCGGTGATCCCTGCCGTGGAACCCCAGTTAGGCCGGGAGGCTGTTGGATGCGGAGAAGCGGTGAAGTCCCTCAACGGGGATCTCGCGGTTCCACACTTAACAGCGCAGAGGGTATTCGCAGGGGTTTTTAGCGGATAGTGTGCCACAAGCGCTCTAAGCAGCGCGGACTGCTTAACGGCTTTTCCGTTTCGCACCCGTGAGACTTGCAAGAGGCTAGCTGTGAGGTCCGTTCGTTGGTGTGCCCCTTAAGGGTGCCAACGTCTGTTAATAGAGGTTTTGCCTGCGTAATAAAAAAAAGGCATCGCTAGCGTCTATTCTATTGGCTATGGTGGCCGCTTACCATCAGGAGGGCCATAAGCTCTTTTGCCACCCTTTCAACATAGAAAAGTATATTCTTTAATTTTTTAATGATTGTAAAAAAATAAGACCATTCTAAGAAATCGATTGTATCTTGGTATGTCGATTATAAATAAAATATAATACAATGACGCAGCTTAGAACACCTGTTATTTGTAGTTTATACAAGGAAGTCAAACATGAAACAGCTTTGCGAAGGTCAACAAAGTATGAAGAGCTCTTTATATAGTACGGCATAATCCTCATCATCTCTGGATCATTAGAATAATCTCATGCACGTACGTTCGGTAATGAGGATAATATAAATTTTATATACGCCGCCTGCATCTGGAGCATGTATAATGTCGTTGCACGTATATGTCAAGCATTCTCAATTTAAACTAAGCTATTAAAAGCCCAAGACCCGTAAATTTGTCTAGAAGTCCCCTTCGGTATTATAGCCATTTAAATTTGGAATGCCTAAATGACAACAATAACTTCTATCAAAATAGTTAAAAAAACAAGGCTGTTCAAGGCTTACCTCCCTCGATCTCTGGCCATACAAAGCGAACAGTAGTATGCCGAATGAGGGAACACATAAAAGCAATCAAGAACAACGGATACGCAGAAAGCAACCATCGCGGAACATTTGATTGATTCAGGGCAGTAGAAAAAAAAAGAGCGCAAGGCTTTTGAAAACCTCAGGCGGCTAGAAATAACAAAATAAAATCGTAAGCATTAGCGTTTTCCCAAGTATTTCCGTTAGGCGAATGGCCCCCTGGTCCTAACCACTGGATAGAGTTTCATAACCCACAGATTATCTCGACAGAACGCCACTACATACTAAGATTGGTCAGGGAAGCGATTGAAATAACAAAACATAAAAAAAAAAACAATCCTGAGGACGGGTTTAAATTGTCGAGTGTCTGGAATCCTGTGGTTCGTATGTGTAAAACCGGAAATAATCAAAAAAGTGTCGTGTCGCGATCCGATATTGTAAGTATTGTGTGTCGAGAACAGTTTCCAGTGAATAGTGAGAATGTGAACAGTGGTACGGGTATCGAACGCAATAAAAGACTTCGTCGGAGGGTAGACCGATATGTCTGCCAATAACAGCCTACCCGCAATTACTTCAATTACTCCGTGATTATGGCGAAATATCGGACTTGCAACAGTGCCGAAATATCGGAAACTCGCCAAAAACAAGGTACATGGTAACAATCCCGTAAATAACTTATATTTCTATAATATTATTTCAAGAGTTAAAATAATCCATACTCACCTAAAGACCCTAGTCTGTAGTTTATGGAGACGTAGACTACATCCAAGTCCATCAACCTTGATGGATCATAAAAGTATTTGTTGCCAGTGCCGTACAGAAAGGCACCTCCGTGTATGTATACAATTACGGGAAGAGGCTCCTCCGGTGCCAACATTGGCGTGAAGATGTTCAAGTATAAGCAATCTTCGCTACCTGTACAGGATTGTTGAAATGGTTGAGCGATTATAAAATACGTCTTCAGTAGCGCTGTGTTTACCGAACCCTTAACGAACCTAATCCTCTAAGATTTCCAGGTCTCCATTGGGTGAGGCCCAATGGAGACCTGGAAATCTTACCAGTGTTAACTTAGTGTGGTATACTCTAAAGCCCGTCTACCATTACGATACGCCCACACTTGTTTGAAGTGTAACGTGTACTTGTAATAACGATAATTGATGAATTTGACAAAAAAATCAGTAGTGTATTCAACTAGTATTGACTAAGGCCCGTATTACAGAAAAATTCTCAGTAATGAATCTAGTCTTGAGCATAGTTAGAAAGGGATGGCGCTTTATATAGCACATAGCGGCATCCTTTTCTAACTGTACTCAAGTAAAGATCAACACTTAGTTGTCATTCTGTAATACGGGCTTTTGTATCGTATCGGGGGTATTGTAATGAGAGAAGGGCCTAAGGTGGATGTTACTTCTTTAGACTAGCGCTTCGTTAGAGCAGAAAGTCAAGGTGATCTAATAACTTATAACTAAATAAACTTTAATTGTATGATATTTACAATAATAACATATACGGGAACAATGAACCTAAAACTAAAAACCTTAAAAAATATATTATAATAACTAAAATATATTATTATAAAGCGTTGTTGGGTGAAGATAGATAAAAAGTTCGCTTGTACTTATCTGCGGTGCAGTCGGGAGGCGGTGTAAAACAATAAGTCCAGCACTCAACGATAAACAGTTTATTTGCACAAGCACAGAATAGAAGGAGTACAGAGCACAGTCAGTGATAAACAAGCACAGAGGAAGAAAGGAAAAGCACAGTCAAAGCAAACGTAAACAAAACAATAATAACACGGTTAGGGACTAGCAAGCGCGGAGCAATTTAGCGTGCGTACCGTGTCAAGTATAGGTTCCGACTGTCGTGCCACGTGACCTATGCGCGTGAGCCGGCCGGTTTGCCGAACAATAGGCGGCGAAGTGAGTGCGCGTGTCCATTCGCCACACGACTGTTATAGATCGGCTGATGCACGGCACGATATAGTGTAATTGTTTTGTGAATAAATGTTTGTGCTTGTGATGACAGTATATGAATGTAATTAATAAATATTGTTATATATTAAATGTAAATAATGTGTAAATAATAAGTGTTATTTTATATAAATGTAAATATATTTGGTATTTATAATTAATGTTTTATATTTATTTGTAGTTATAAATTGTAAATACATATTATATAATATTTTGAATATTTCTAAATACGTATATAACATGTATATATACGATTGTGGGAGAACCCCACATAACCCCCCCTCAGAGACCTGGTTAGGGTCGATAGTAATCTGGGAAACGGACGTGTCTCCCAGAGCGTGTGGTTTTTTGAGGCTGGGTTTCAGTGGGTGTGTGTGTACTGTGTGTATGTGTATTAGTGGTGTTTGGAAGAGTGTCTGTGTGTGTGTCATGTATAAGGTCTTCCTCGTCTGTAAGCGTGAATGCTGGTTTTAAGCGATCGATGCTCACGGTGACGGGATTACCTTTGACAAGAAGTTTGAACACCTTGTCGTTTCTTTCTAAAACCTTATGAGGTCCAGAGTAGGCAGGTTGGAAAGTCACACGTGAAGCATCTTCTCGCAGAAAGACATAATTGGCAGCGGCTAATTCTTTGAAAACAAAGACTTTGTGATTGCCATGGCGAGATGCTGGAACAGGCTTTAGTTTTTCGGCGTACGAACGTAACCGCGCTGTAAAATCTGACAAGTCAGATGTGCCAGGTGTGTTCGGATGGAAAAATTCGCCAGGGAGTCTTAATGGTTCGCCGTATAATAGTTCTGCCGTAGAAGATTGTAAGTCCTCTTTGAAGGCGGTACGAATGCCAAGCAGTACCAGTGGTAACACCTCGATCCAATTTTGTTGGGCATGGCAGGTAATGGAGGCTTTCAACTGCCTGTGAAAGCGTTCCACAAGACCGTTACATGCCGGGTGGTAAGCGGTGGTGCGTTTATGGTGGAACCCTAGTGTTTTTGCGAGATATTGAAACAGTGCGGACTCAAATTGTGCGCCGCGATCTGTCACAATATCTATAGGGCAACCAAAACGCGATATCCAGCCAGATATTAAAGCCTTAGCTACCGTTTCAGCTTTTATGTCCATCAATGGCATGACTTCAGGCCACCGAGTGAAGCGGTCAATAGCTGTCAGGCAATATCTGTATCCTTGACAGATGGGTAAGGGACCGATAAGGTCGATATGGACGTGCTTGAATCGCTCACGAGGCAAGTCGAAAGTACCTAAAGGTGCAGATACGTGTCGACTCACCTTTGCACGCTGGCACGACGAACAAGTGCGAACCCACTCGCGACAGTCCTTTCTCACTCCGGGCCATATGAATCTGTCGGCAACGAGCCGTGCAGTGGCTGTGGCACCGGGGTGACTAAGTGAGTGGAGGTTTTCAAATACCCGTCTGCGCAATCCTTTGGTGATGAATGGCCTGGGAGTCGGTGTACTGATGTCACAGTACAGAGGAGTTTGACAACCAGGGTATTGCATCTTCTCGAGACGGAGTGATGAAGGGTCTGACAGATATTGGGCCAGTTCTGTGTCAGATTCTTGGGCTTTGGCAAGTTCGGCGAGGGAAATCGGTGCGGCCAGTTCATCAACGCGAGATAAGGTGTCGGCAACGACGTTGTTTTTGCCGGAGATATGCCTTATGTCGGTTGTGAACTGGGATATGTAGTCCAGATGACGGAACTGCCTAGGCGAACATTTACGCTTCCGCTCATGGAAGGCGTAACAGATCGGTTTATGGTCCGTGTACACCACAAAATGCCTTGCCTCAAGCATATGCCGGAAGTATTTGATGGACTCGTAGATCGCAAGAAGTTCACGATCGTACGGTGAATACTTTTGCTGTGCTGGATTAAGTTTCCGGGAGAAAAAGGCTAGGGGTTCCCATACGTCACCTTTTTGCTGCTGAAGGACGGCTCCTATAGCCAGGTCTGATGCGTCTGTAACCAATGCCAGCTGGGCTCGACAATCTGGATGTGCCAAGAGAGCTGCATTGGAGAGGCTTTCTTTGGTATTTGAGAAAGCCTTCAGAGCATCGTCAGCTAGGGTGATGGGTGTGGAACCTTTTACTGCCCCCATGAGCAAGTTGTTCAAAGGCCCTTGGGTTTGAGCGGCATTCGGCAAAAATCGCCTATAAAAATTGGCCATACCCAAAAATCGTCTAAGAGACCTGACGTCTTTTGGTGGGGGGAAGTCGCGGATGGCTTGTACCTTTTGGTCCAGTGGTTTGGTTCCGCTCTCCGAAATACGATAACCTAAAAAGGTTACCTCGGGAGCCCCGAAAACACACTTAGACACGTTGACGACCATGCCATAGTCCCGGAGTCTGCTAAAAACTTGTCTGAGGTGGTCTTCGTGGCTCGTGTGGTCTCTGCTAAAGATCAAAAAATCATCTAAATAGCAGTAGACAAAGTCCAGGCCTCGTGTCACCTCATCGACAAAACGTTGAAAAGTTTGGCCTGCGTTTCGCAGACCAAACGTCATGTATGGAAATTCGAACATACCAAAGGGTGTGGTGATGGCGGTCTTCGGTATGTCCTCCTTGCAGACAGGTATCTGGTTGTACGCCTTTTCAAGGTCGATGGTGCTGAAGACCTTGCAACCAGAGATGTTGTGGGCGAAGTCATGGATGTGGCGTATTGGGTACCTGTCTGGTATGGTCCGTGCGTTGAGCTGCCTGTAGTCGCCACAAGGACGCCAGCCGTTGTCTTTCTTCGGCGCCAGGTGCAGGGGAGAAGACCACGGACTTTCGGAAGGTCTAGCTGTGCCATTGGCTACCATGGCATCGAACTCGGCCTTCGCAATCTTCAATTTGTCCGGCGCTAGACGTCTGGGTGCAGACGAAACTGGAGGACCTGGTGTGGTGCGGATGTGGTGCTGTGTATTGTGTGGTGTGGTGCGTTGTGTACCAGCTGGTCGCGTGATCTCTGAAAAATCGCGAGAAAGCAAAGCATGGTAACGCGATTCACCAGTAGGAACCTTTACAGAAAGCACGTTGTTAGAAGCTAAAGCCAGTGAAGCTGGGGCAGAAACAGTAGTAGTTTTATCAATAAGCTGCTTATGTCTACAGTCTACAATTAAGCTATAAAAGCATAAAAAGTCTACCCCTATAATAGGCTTAGTAACGTCGGCTACCACAAAACGCCAAGGATATGTACGGCGCAGACCCAGATCCAGGTTGAAGTGTGCGTAGCCATAGGTGGAGATAGTAGTCCCGTTGGCTGCGGTGAGATGGTAGCTCGTTGGTGCACGTCGCTCTCGAAGTTGACAGCGGGGGAAAACGCTGCCTGTGTCGACCAGAAACTGCGTCTTCGTGTTATGCCATAGCTCTCAAATTGCCCTTCCAAAAGCGCGAACCATATTTCCGGATCATCCGGCGAAAATGACGGAACCTTCAGGGTGTACGGCTTTAAATCGGACGAATCGTGACGTGTGCCCGTGGAAACGCGCTTTTTCTTTTGGTGGCGGGTAGTGACATTTTCCTTATGCGACTCAACGGTTTTGGCGGAATCACTGCTATCGCTCATTATGATATTCAACAGGGGTCACCAGTAAAGCGTTGTTGGGTGAAGATAGATAAAAAGTTCGCTTGTACTTATTTGCGGTGCAGTCGGGAGGCGGTGTAAAACAATAAGCCCAGCACTCAACGATAAACAGTTTATTTGCACAAGCACAGAATAGAAGGAGTACAGAGCACAGTCAGTGATAAACAAGCACAGAGGAAGAAAGGAAAAGCACAGTCAAAGCAAACGTAAACAAAACAATAATAACACGGTTAGGGACTAGCAAGCGCGGAGCAATTTAGCGTGCGTACCGTGTCAAGTATAGGTTCCGACTGTCGTGCCACGTGACCTATGCGCGTGAGCCGGCCGGTTTGCCGAACAATAGGCGGCGAAGTGAGTGCGCGTGTCC